TTATTAGATTATTATCTAACAGGATGGCCGTAATGCGCAACTTATTTTTAATAGTGTTAAGACCTTAAAGAAAGTTTTGTACAATTAAAAATCACATATTACTTTTTAGTTACCGATTTTACATCACTAATCTATACTTATATTATAAAGCTGAAGAGTTTGTTTGAACGCGCTAATCTCAGGAACTACTGGTTCGAACTGAAAAATTCTTTTTTGTGTTGAATAGACCATTTATCGAGGAAGGCTTTAGGCTATGTTACATCACGCTGCAACTATTAGGAGCGAAGAAATAATGGAAAATGTGGAAAAAACGGGTAAAATTATTCATCCTTGAGGGCTTCCGTTGCGTGCGCTGCAAAAACGGTTCAAGATACCAAAAATATATGTATGAAAACTATGCTATGATAACAGCTATCATTGTTTACTATTCAATTTATAATTATATCTGTGTCATGCTATGATTCAATACCCAAATAAAGAGTTCCCTAGGGATCACGCGTGCGAAGCCGCTGGCAGAAAGCTAGTAAATAATAATATAATATCATGTAATCAAATTTTTCACTCTCAAAAATTTTATCTTAAATATTCTTCAAACAGATATCATAAAAACATCTAAGGTAGGGGCTTTAGATGTATTCACGATATCTGTTTGAAAAATATTTAGGATTATTTTTTAAGTTTACAATAAATAATAGGGAATTTGCACATTTTTGGAAAATGGTTTTATATGATAATTTACATCGATATATAACTGTTAAAAAAATACCCGGCACGGAAAAACTAAAATTTTGTAACATTAATCATTGATGAAAATAAGTAATAGCTACGAGCAGTTTAAACACCTGAATTTTTGGCGCGCTCGTCGTGACGTCAAAGTACACGACTAGAGATATGACACTTTAAATCAATATGGAGTTTGAGCGATTGATTATTATTCAATTACTTAAATCAATTAACAACTAATCGATTTTTTTAAGTATAATAGACTTTTTTAATAAATCATATAATTTACCAAATTGATGAAATAAAAATAAAAGCCTAAAACATCATTTAAATTGTAATCAGTTGTTTATTTTGCGACATAATACATTGATGTTATTGCATCGATGTTAACTTTTTGTAACAACGACATCCCTATACGTGTACATTTTCGTCACATCCGCTTTGATAAGTAGCATGGCGTTTAAATATTTTGAAGTTACCGCATTTATTTTGCACTTTCTAATAATTATTTTCAAGACGAAAACGAACTAATGATGAAAAATATTTAGATAGACTTTATTCTAAAGCAATAACGATTGTAATAAAATATATTTAACCCTTTTTTGAATCAGACGCATATTCCCTAGTATACTACCTACTGTCAAAACCCTTCAAATCGTGGAAACGATCCTTAGTACTTACATGTACTTACATGAAGAGTATTAAAAGCAATGTCTTATAATAAATTTACGTTCTTACTAAATATGACAACGAGTAATGATAATTGTGTAGTTAACGGTTTCATAAACAAGCTGTACAGAGATGCATCGTTATGAAAATTACTAAGCAGCGAAGTGATCACGATGGGATAGCGCCACCAGACTCGCTCCAGATACTCCGTGTGACGTCACGGGAACAATACTAGCAGCATTGTTTGTTATCCCGACTCCGGGTGTAAGTAGGCCGCGTCTCTTTCAGTCCCCTTTCATTTTCACGCTCCCAGCAGAGATGAATGCGAACTATGTTCGGAAAGATTCCAGTTTTTGTGAGACATAAACTTGGGACGGTAACAAAGGCTCGGTTTGATAAAAAAAGAAGATATTCCGAGTATATATGTGTCCGTAAAGGAAAATTCGTAGTCGGTGCGAGGAGACGTGTCGTTTCAATGATATAATGTTCTTATACAATTATGAGCCGCAACTTATGAATATAATTGACTACAAAATTTGTGCACTTTATTTTTATAAGTTTAACTGAAAATATGAAAAGTAAACAAAATCCTGGAATGTGTCAGGAATATAGGTTACAGAAACATGGCTATATATATATATATATTAGCAATGGAATAACACAGAAAACTAGATTAGATATCAATATAAGTAATATTGATATGTAGCATGCAGAACAGTCTCTCAAAATGCGTGGTATTCTGTAGCTATAACAATTGCAATTAACTTTAAATTAGCGAAATTAAAAGAGAATAAAGGGATAAATTAAAAGGGATTGCGATCGATTTAAAAATTAAACAATTAGGCTTCTAGAAGCTTTCAAAGCGATAATGGTATGTTTCGAGAATTATCTTTGTGGAATAAATAAAATACAGTATATCTTAATAAAAAAAATGCTTAAAAAATCCACTTTGTTCCTGGTGCTCCGAGATGGGATTTGAACCCACGACGCAAACCAGATTGTGAAAGGTCGTGGACTCGATCCTCTCAAAGGTCGTGGACTCCCATCTCAAAGTACCACGGACAATGTGGATTTTTATTTTTTATTATTTTGCATTTTTAATTAAGAATATTTTCCAGTATAACATTGTGTATACCAAACCACTTTAGCCCATCGATTGTTTATAATTGGTAGACTGTATTACAAGAATACTAGTAATTTTAAAGGAAATTATCTTTCGATTAGCCACTGACCTACAAAATGTATCCCTATTTGCACTTTAGCAGTTGACTGTTCAAATATGGAAATGGGCGATGTTCGAAATAATGTCAGGAACTTGTGATGTCTAGACTCTTAACTAGACACTGCAAAATGGCGTTTGAAAATCTTTTGAAAAAAAAATTTTTTTGAAAAAAAAACAGAGAACACAGAGTTTTCGAAAATCGATACCAATGTGTCTCTGGATCTATATTATCGATAATCAAAATTACAATGTGAACCTGTTATACCTATATCAATTTCAATATTAAAGTAGGATATTGTTTTTATAGTTACTTGAACTTAAAATAAACAAGAAACTTATTCAATAAATTACTTTTAAAACTTGAGAATTAATGTACATTTTTCTACGTCTTTATTTAAACTGTTAAAAATTGAGGCTGTCAATGCATAAGTGTCCCAACCCACATTTTATCATTTTCGTAATTATCTATTGCATTTATTAAAAACTTGATAAATTATCGTTATAATATGTGATGTATGTACTGTATGTTACGTTACTCCGATTAAATTTACACTCGAAAATTTCCTTGTAAATTTTCGAGTGCAAATTTAATCGGAGTAACGTCACATACAGTAGGGTATAGAATCAAACAAAAGCGAAGCGTGCAGTGATTTGTGTCATGTCGGCCCGTTCAATACACGTCCCGACGGACGTGTGCCCGCTCACTGCACTTTATGACCACTGCGCACACAATGAATAGAAGCGAAATCTAAATTTAAAAGAGAACCTCGACGGCGGAATGACTTGTGTTAATCATTAGACAATAATGATATTTCTGTTTTTAGCAAACCATCGATCATGTTTAATTTTCTAATTTTTTTTTTTTTTTTATTTGTCAAATATTAATATAGCCTGTGAATAAAATAGGTCTAAAAAGTCTCTCTCTCGTTATCTCGTATAATCCAATAACCCAGCGTCTAACAATATTCAATCTTCTTGTTGAGTGCCTTAACACCGGAGACATTTATAGACCGATATAATGAAAGCTCATATTCTAAAATAGAAATTTATTATGTAAATGAATTTGGTTGGAAGTTGGCAAACGTTAATGTAATGACAAACTGCATCGTTTCATTTTAAATTCAGAATGTGTTTATGAAACACATTCAATATAATCTGGTATGTAATCGTAATATATAAAATATCGATGTTATTTTTATTGAAAGGTTTTAGGATTCTTTGGTGAAATATTCATATTTGCACGTGTAGTACACACAACTCCAAATCGTATAACGACAAGATGACAAATTTCTGTAATCTATACTGAAATCAACTATCAAATGTTTCGGCAAATCTAACGTGGCGTTCACTGTACAGTACTTAATAATTATTGTTTAAATTACGATACATTGAAAATACGGTACTAATACTTTGAGATCATAGTTAAACTGATAGTATGACGGAAAGTTTTCAAATATATTGAAATTAATTCCGTATAAAATGTAGCTGTATGAGCCCTGATGATTAGAGAATATTATAATGAAAAAACTTGTCACAAAACGTTTAACGAACTTTTACCTCCCCTCCCCCACCCCCATATTCTCCATTGTACTATAAAATAATGTTCGACTGTACAGATCCTTTATGAAATTTCAGACTTTCCGAATTAATGAACGGTTATACCTAATATTTCAGTTTGGGAACAAAGTTTGCTCATTAAACGTGCAAATTACGTTTGAGTTTGACCCTTTTCTGTGACAATGACATCATAGAGGTATTACCTGCTACAAAATTACAACACAATTATACTTACCGATCTCTTTATTTAGCAATATTTATATATTTACAATGGATATAATTTAGTGTACGTGCCATTAGCTCTATACAAACAATATTTGTTAGTTTCGGTTAAACAATATATGTCAATTAATGTAAACAATGCGTCATACTACTGTTAGCTTACAACTATACCACAACCGCGTGCTTATTAGTAAATAAAACCTTAAATTCATACATCCAACTACGAATACGTTTAATATTGATCTACAATAGAACAATAGAGAAAGTTCGAAGTGTGAATTTTAAGTTTACAGTTTTCCATTACATTCACGGTATTAAAAAAACAGTCCCAGACTACCAACACCAACAAAATTTCATCCCCACCACCATTGTCGCTGCGATCAGGACAAACTGTGACCTAAAGTCACATTTTTATTTCGAACTTATTAAAATCACACAAGGTATCGTTCTTATTATAGTTATCAGGTAACGCTCTCATTCAATACTTCTTGAACATACCTTACAAATGGCAACTTGTTAGAACAAACCTTGTCATTATTATTAGTACATAATTCTTTTTCTCCCAATTCCTGATCGCACGCGCATATATACGTATTCTGACACTCACCGCTAGGTGTAGAGTCCGAGGAGCCGCGCCGTTGCAACTCAGTAGTCTCTTGTGACCGTTCAACCGACTCCGGTGTCTTCTCGACCGAAACTCGTGTCCGCTCGGTCGAGTCACGCCTTCGTTCGACCGAATCACGTCTCCGCTCGATCGAATCGCGGGTCCTATCTGACGAATCAAGCGCGCGCTCGATAGAATCTCGTACCCGCTCGTTTGAATCGTGCGTACGTTCGACCGAATCACGAGTCTTCTCACCAGTTTCGCGTATACGTTCGACCGAATCGCGCGTCCTCTCGACCGAATCACGTGTTCCGGCCAAGTGTTTCAGCGGGGGCCACTCGCGACGTAATCGCAACACGTGGTCGCGCAACTCGGGCGCGACAGATAACCGCGCGCTGGTACATTCACGCTCCATGTTGTTGTAGTTTTCTAGTACTTCGTGCACTTCCGCTGCTCTCTGCGACACTTCGTTCTGCGAACAATGAGGAAGTTTCATGATGTTGATATTTTATATTTAACACAATATGATCAAAAAACAGTTCAAAACTAAAACAGTTTATTTTGTATATTTCTATAATAATGAGAAGAAAATGTCAAAAATGTACATATTTTCTAACCTACAATAGGTGAAGATATTACTTTTAATGTGTATTAAACTTGTTTAGATACCAATTAGTATAAAAAAAACGAGCAAGTGCGAGTCGGCCTCGCACCGAGGGTTCCGTAGAAACATTACATTTTATTGCATTAGAACCTATCCAAAATACTTTGTTTTTGTTGTATTTTCATAGTGGTTGTATGAATGACAAAGAAATATTTGCGGTTTTTGTTAATGTGCTATATCTCAGAAAGTGCCTAAAAACAGTTCTTCGTCAAACACTAATGTAAATAAGCACAGAAATCGTTGCACTTCGCATACGGACCCTATCGACCGATGTAAATGAGCTTGCATTATTCGCTAAACCAATGACAGTCAATGACCAACTAATGCACAGAAACAGTCCTGATGTGGGCCCCATCGACCAATGAAAATGAGTATTTTGGTACCTAGATATAATTTTTACACGCATATTTAGCAGTATATTTAGGTCACAGCATATTTTTTAGAGTTCGAATGGAAAAATTTGAACTTTTATAGATTCGTAATATCTGTCTGTGGGTTCGCCAGTATGTCACAGCCACTTTATTTAGTATGTACCTTTTACCGAAACTATTAGTTGGTACCTCTGTACCTCTTCTTGTTTTGTGGTTAGGACCTACATATTGAGACCTTATAAGTAGATGCATTCTGTTTATTAAAATTATTTTATTAGGGTTTTTATCGTTGTACTACAATACATAGGGACATAACAATATTAACAAAAAAAAAATTATTATTATAATTATCATGTTCGGTACTGTGACGTCAAACGCTGAGGTACCGCGTAAAGTAATTCAAGGTTCTAGCGCATTAGCAATTTACGGGACTCAACACTGACCGCTAGCGCGTCCCTGTCCCGCTGATTGTGCGCCCGCGCGAGCGTATCCCGCGCGTGCGTGGCCCACTCGTGTGCGGCGTGAAGCCGCGCGCAGTACTTGCCCAGCGCGACCAACTTGCCGCTCACCAAGGAAGCATGAGCAGCTAACTCCGACTTCGCCTGCACAAAATACCTTTTTAGTTCACTAGTTTGAACGGCTAAACTGCGAACTACGTTAGCACAAAAAATATTCCGTAACGAGCAAAAAATTATTTTGTTGGTATATTCACTGCCTCGGTCTTTGTCAAGAATATAAGGGTCGGTACATACGGTCGATATTTCGTCGACATTTTACTATTTCGACATGTCTATTTAGTGGTTATACGTGGATAACACTGCTGTTATAGTCATAATCATCATTCTTTATTATTCATTTGTCGTTATTAAAGTATGTACATGTAATCAAAGTAGTAAAATAAAATGAAATGTCGCCATAACATTAAGATGTCGTATCCTAAATTTTCACCTACGTACACTGAACTCGGGTAAACAAGAGCGCTCCAGATCTATTCAAGTATATTTATTTATTCAAAGTAAATTTAGTGATTTACATTTACAAAAACAATAAAACTTGACACTAAAACTTATAAACTAAACTTATAATGAAATCTCAAAAATGACCTATATCTATATACTTACATTATTGAATAAAACAATATTTAGAATATATACACTATTACATTTAAATAATATAAAATATTAGGCGATTTAACCTATACAATGCACAGCATTAACCACGCGCAAGTATAGCTTATGCACTGTACTAGCTACTTAATGCCATCCTTTTTTTCGCTTGTTTTTTGCTACATTAGTGATTGACACGCCTTCCCAATCGCCAGTGTGAGACTAACTACGACGCGAAGTGCACATACGATTGTATGCATTTATCGACCCGTGCGCTATTGGTATTTAAACTATTATTTTTCATTTCACACCTTCTGGTATTGGAATACTGAGTGGAATTATCACAGCACAGCCACCCAAAAGTGAAAAGACAATAGGTAGCTAGCAATATTTAGAGAATAATAGTACTACTGCTCACCGAACAAAACGGTTCCGTAAAGGGTCCGAAACGTAAATAAAACTAAATACAAACGCGATGAAACCGTTTAAAAGTTGTTTCATTTATGGATAGTGCGCGAGAAAATATAAGAAATCAAAACTAGTCATAATCAAGACCCAAGGCACATTTAATAGATTTTAATCGGGCTTTCTGTTCGATAAGAAAGAAAGAAGAAAGAAAGAAATTTTGTTAATTAAATAATAAACAAAAAAATAGTTACAACAAAGAAACTGCAAATGTGACCGGAATAAAAAGCGGTTGTGCCTCGGACGTGTACAGGAAAGCTCTCCCAAGTTGAGCAGAGTATAAAGTTAAAGGAGCGAGGGAACAACTGAATTCGTATCAGGTACGGAGGAAGTTTGCGACCATTCACCGCCCGGTAGCTGTAAGCTACGAGTCAACTATTGTTGCTACATCTATATCACTACTTTGTATAGCTTCTGATAAAGTACACTCCGTAAAAATTCTATAAAAAAAAATAAAAAAACAACAAAAAAGTTACAAGCACTTGTGAAAGTCCAAAGCTATGCTATCGGTTCTTAAATCTACGGCGGGAGGACCTTGTACTAAGAAGAACCGGAAAGAAACTCGGCAAGGGCTGCTTTTTAGAAAAGACAATAATACAATATAAGAAAGACATATAGGTATAACGAATAAAATAATTTGATCTAATAAAGTTATTTATGTGTATAACATAATAGACCAGATTCATACATGAAATATATGAAAAAAAAAACAATTCTAAATTAGATAAGATTTAAGTTGCCAAAGCTTCTCCTTTACATACTTCTTTACAAAAATTTGGTTTAATATTTCGTTTCAAGTTTCATGGTCATTTACATTAGTATGATAATTTTCTATGGAATCGCTACCATGTGTGCCACTTGTACCTATCGAGTCCGAGTTCTCTATAAATACAAGACACATGGATGCGATCTCGTAAGAAACTACCATTCAAACATAAGGTTTATTCAACAACAATATTAAGTGTCGTGCCATTAATTACCTTCAGCTTACCTATAGCGTTAAAATATAATTCATGTTTAAAACGTATTACAGTCAACAGCATGTCAGTATATAGAAAACTGTCAAATTTGTCCACTTCATTTTAAATCTCAATTCTTTGAGAGTAGAGTTCAAAATCAATTGAAGTAATCTGACATATTGTGATAGCTTGATGTAACATATATAGTCGTCATTGTGTTGTACAGCGAGCGGTGGGTGATTGTGTACGGTCGGACCTCTTCAGTACGAGTGCCGTAACATTTCAGACGACACTCACCACCCTTTGTTAACTCCCCTTCTATTATTCGCCAACACACCGATTTCAGACATTCAATTATCAATTTTTATACACATTTATCAATCTGAATATTTTACACGTTCCTATAAATGTAATAATGAAGAACTATGCAAATGAGATGATAATTGAAAAACAAAGAGATATAAAAACATACGTTAAATGAATATTCCATTATACGAGTATATTTAATAAATCTATATTTTTGTAATATCTTAGAAATGTACGTAAAGAAAGTAATTTTTTTTTTTATTTATATTAAAATGTCCTAATTATTTAAGTCAGCAGAGCCGTAGCTGACTACTATCTAAGTGTAAATTAAAATAAGTTAGCGTCTCAATTTTGCTAAATTGTACATAAATAATCATATTTCAATAATCTCAACTGCTTTCATTTACCCATTGTAGTACCTAACTGAAGTCCAATTTTATTAGTACAATGGCTCCCTCTTCGCGATCTAGTAATAAAAACTGTGTCATTAAATGTTGTGGTTGAAGCGTTATTCACTTGCCATAATTACGCTAACATGAACAGACTCGTTAGAGTTTGTTATAGTAGAGAGAACAGTTAGAAACTTTCTAACTGTTTTAATATATTGACACCATCACCCGTGGAAGTACCAGAAATGGTGGTGATATTAGTTACCTCTTTCAGTTGACGCAGCAGTCGCTCGTGGTGAGGGTCACCTGTCTCTATCAGCCGACCCACTTCCTCCTCGCGCGCCTACACAATAACATAATACATTAATAATTACTTAAAGCATTTTTTTTTTCACGTATATGAAGATATACCTTAATAAAAATAATGTGTAAAAACTTATATAAATTGCTCATACATTCATTAGCTACAGCCCTTGTATTATAGAATTCTGAATCAATGAAAGTATCAGAACCTCCTAAAGGCGAGATGAAAAAGGACATGAAATAATTATTATTAAATTAAGTCCTATGGTTTTTATATCTTATATCAAATAACATAGGATTGATATTATAAAACAAATGACTCATTACATTAATTTAAAATCACCTTAAAGACTCGCAAGCTAAGGCAGCGCGCACACAAAACCAAATCAACAACAATATTATGATAACCAAATTCTAAATCACACAATCTGCAAACATATGTATCACTGAAAGATTATTTGGGGAACTGGAAGTGAACACTATTAATATTCTTATGTATCGTGTGATGTGCGTCACATTGGTACTATAATACACTGCACTTTACCATCGGTAAGATTCCAATACCCTCTCGCACAACATCACAACTAGAATCACGACAACACTCAAGTGAACACTCAAGGAAATGCCCACCGGGAAACTAACGCACGGTACTATCCAACTAGCAATATTTCATTCCTGCTATATGAATTTCGAGAACAAGTTTTCATTAAAGATCACTTTCAACTCTATTCTTACGTTACTTAAGTCAATAATCGGATGTGAAAGTGTCGTCGTTTCAGCTTTATCACGATCCGAGTGCAAACAACTGATGGGACAGGAGTATTTTCATAGATTCAGAAATAGATCTCGGTTCCCGCGCGATAGACATTTGCGCCCGCGCACAGGACTTTCATCTGCCTTATACGGCATATGCCGCCATCAGATGAATGCTACAATAAACTGTATTTTTTTTTTATTACAAAGAGTATAAAACACATTCTATTTTCGTATCAACCATTGCTTATTTCTTCATAGACATTATACATTCTACATTCATTACAGCTTTGGCACTAAAAGTGGAATCAGCAATTTTTTTCTTGAATTTGATAATTTGATTCTACAATATGATTAAGGTTTATCGTAACTAGAGAGTAGCCTCTCGAGAGTCGCCTTCAGAAGGTAATAAACGATAAATCGTGGGGTAGGATTAAAATTCAACATCATGATCATCACCATCCTATTAATGCCCCCTTTTTGGGATTTAGAACTTTCCTATTTGTGGAACCGACGCAAATCGAACAGGGCCATGACCCATCAAGAAGGCCTAGTGCGGACTGGTGGGTGTTTACTACTGTAGATATAGCCGGGAGCAACGGCTTAACGTGCCTTCCGAAACACGGAGGAGCTGGAAATGAAAAATTTCTGGTCACCTAACCTATGATCAGCCATTACGAAGATTGGCGTGCAGACCGAGCACGCCAAACATGCGTGGTTTAACATTCACTAGTAAAATATTCTTAGATATTATTAGACGGTATTTCCAGTAGCTCAAATTTTAAGACAAGTAACTGACATCCCTCTATTATGAAAATCAAATACGACTAAGCCAAATCCACTTAGACATAAGACAACATAAAACTTTATTTTTTAATTGATCCGACCGGGAATCGTATAGGGAACCGCAGAAATGGTGACAAAGATGGTATTCGCGGTAGATGCCACTCGATAACATAGGTTGTCCACATAAATACAAATGACTGGGGTAAGATGACAAATGGGGCACCAATAGTTTGACTAATAAATGAGCCGCTTGTGATCATAGTAATGAGTTCTCGACAGATGCTTTCGTCGATGTAACAGCGTCGCCGACACCAGCCCGCGTCTATCAACAACGTCCACTCGCTCGCTAACCCGCACTACTTTCATAAACGAAATTGAATATACAGACTAGAAACAATATATATTCTTACATTGATATATATATATTTTTTGGAACGCTTAACAAATCTGATACATAGAATATGTTGAAATTGTAAAATGGTTTTTTCAATTGCATTTCATTGCACAATTTTTTTAACAATGTTGATCAAGGGTATGTTCCGATATACACTGCGACCACTGAACAGTATGACGTCAATTTAGTATACTGGAAGCCCGTTCCTTTATAGCTAGTTATACTGGTGACTTTTTAAAACGGAACGCAGTCCAGTATACTGTTAATTCCCTCTTTTCAATAGAAAATATTATAAAATTGAAAATTGTATAAAAAAATTATTTATCAATCAAATCCATCTTATAATAAACGTAAGTATTTTATTTTATCTGTTTCGACTGATCACGTGGTCAAAAGCACTGCGAGCACTGCACCTCGAAATTTCCAGTGCTCACAGTACAAATATGGCGGCAATTAATGACGTCATAAATTTCCCTATGGTACTGTAGCAGTGTACTGGCAGTCCATAACGGAACGGATTTTTCAGCAGTAAGTCCACTGCGCAGTGCTCGCAGTGTATATCGGAACATACCCCAAATCCTCAATCAATTATTTATCAGAATTGTGAGTGAAAGTTAACGATGGGCGCACGGAGGGTTATATATAATGGGGGGGTTCGGTGCGACACAAACCAAGCATCCATCATCCAACTCTAGGGAATGAAGGTAACTGTTATCCATCCACAATCATGTCACCGATAATTACTACTGATTATTATAGACTTGTTTAACATATAAAAATTAAGATTAATTTATATGTCTTAACAAAAATGAAAAACATAAATTCAAAGAAATATAATAATAATGAATAAATATAATAAAGCTGATATATTGTTTCTGTTATTAGTTGATATTAAGATATTAAGTTGCTCATAGATAAATACATATTAAGTTGCTGGATTGCATGCAGTGTTTACCTACCTATAAATGTCTATGCATTTACTAAGATATTTATAAGATTTACTATTTTTGTACACTGCGGCTTCGCCCGCGTAGTCCCTATGTAACTGTTTATTTGGATATCGATTCATATCATGATATGCATATAATTACAATGACAAATTAAATAGTAAACAATAGTTACCATAGTCACATTTTAATTTTCCATACAAACCACATCCACTGCTGTTTTTCGGGATAAAATATAACCTATGTTCACCGCATATGATGTAGCTTTTTTCCTTACACTTCGCAAGTTCAGCATTACATTTCGCAAGTTCAGCATTTGAAATTAATATATTAGTTTATTGATCATTCGTTTTTTTATTTTTATTTTAAACAAACTTTTTTCATAATGATTAAGACAGACGTCTCTATCACGCTCATGCCATCGATATTATTTGTGGTAACAAGATCGGGAAGTCGGTACTTATCGCAAATTGATTCGCTACTCGCTTCCTCCGGAAATAAGTAGCGACACATTATTAGCGGAGTGTGTCACATGCACGCGCCCCTACAGAATGTGACGTGACAACGAGGGCGATGACGTCACGTCTACAGGGCTGATTCCAAATTGATTGTAACCAAAAAAAAAACAAATAAACTGTAATCAATAATAATAAAAATTCAACATGTAACTAAATGAATTACAATGCAAAATTTATCAACTATTATTTATTATACATATTTTATACAAATAACTGATGTAATTAAACCTAATGAATGTCCTGTCATTATAAATAATAATGTCACAGTTACATAATATTATAGTATCATACTCAAATCAAACCCATTTAGCAAAGTAAATGACCATAATCAGATATAGGAGCGATGCCGTCGATATAGCGCGGTAGATACCCACCGGCGACGGCGCGCGGCTCGGGCATCCGGCGTTAATTGCCGTCGCATTCCCGTGTGACTAAAATTCGTAATTAATACGTGCGGTACCCGGACAATCATATTATTAATCGACAAAATATATCACGTATCAATCTTCTGATATATTGCATTACTAGACGTTTGTTCTCTGCTTCATCTGCATGAATGGCGGATTCGAAGAGGAATCTTTTTTAGTAAAGAAAAACACTGTATTGTTAACATAGTTTAAGTTTTATTTAATTTATATAGAATATTTAATTTATTCAACAATTATTTTATCATACGTCGTCTTTCATAATACCTACTAGCAGCTTATACCGGGTGTGCACGGGTATTAATCTGTGTGCCCAGTGACCATACATTCAGCATATTTTTTTCCAATCATCATCACACTTTAACCTATCCATTCAATTTAATTAAATACTCATGAAATATAATTAACCTTATTTAGATAGACATTGATGGTAGACTTTGTTATATAATACGTAATATATGAATTTATCATGTGTAATAAATCAGATCATATTCTTCAAACTAACGGATTCACAATTAGGCATTCCTTTTAGCCTGACTCTTTGATCGATCGACCATCAAAACTAAAATTTATTAACTTACAACACGCAATCGTTAACTTTGTTAAGTTTATTTTGACAACAATAAAGTTTTCCCCAACTCTACACTCGCCATAATTCAGAAACTTATACAAGACATATTCACTGTCAAACGAATGTGCCTCGATAAATACAAATCGCGATGCCAAGCAAAACGATACACCTTGCAAAATCTGTCCAGGAAACACAACACAGCAATCCTTTGAGCGTGCAATAAATAACTTTATTAGGGTAGGGTTTAGATGCAATTTCGAAAATATGCACGGATAAGATTTATGTGCAGAATGTCTGAGTTGTGATACGAGCGGAAATTGACTTTATCTTGTTTGTGCTATGGGTGTATTTTGAGCAACGTTAGACATCGAGTGCATCGTTGGCCGGTTGCCAGTAGCTCGCCGGTGACACCGCACGTGCTGTTTTGTTTTCTATTACGCTGCATGCTCGCCGTTGATTTTTATTTTACCGTAGTCACGTATAAAGCAAATTACTTTTTGAAAACAGGCCCAGGGAAAGTATTCAAAGCGTTTTTTCGCAATTTTAAAATGGAATTATGCTAATATTTATATTTGACTGAATTGCAGAAGAGTACTTTATTAAAACACTTTGTATGCAGACTTTTTTAAATTGTTAAAATGTGTTCGAAAATTATTATCAAATATGGTAAATAATTTACGAACACATATTGTAATATAAATACCTAATTTTGTATAAAACAATTACAGTGTTATTAATAAACAAGGTTTAGCGTTGGAGTAAACTTACGTTTAAATTGCATTTAGTATTAGACAAAGTTCATACTAAACAGAGACTTGGCGAAGGTTAACCTAATACGAGGTTCTGATGGAGTAATATTTACTCCTAGAAGTAGTAAGTAGGTTTGATTATTCTCTGTATAATATGGATTTGGACTATTACTAAAATTGCAATTTTAGCATATGACACTAAACCTTGTTTATTAATAAGCACTGATAGGTTTCAGCTGGACTCGTGTCATTTACTCCCAATCCCATTGTGCGACTTAATTATATTAATGTTTATGAGTAATTACCTGTTTTAAATATGTAACATATCTTACTAATCATGTCAAGGACAGAATACAATAAACGTGTAGTTTTCGATTTTGTAACATATTTATCTAATCTTTTATGTAGAAATATATGTAACAAGTATTTTATAGAAACTTATTAAATCCTATTAATATTATAATATGCTCATATTATTTCCGTTTTTTTTCGTAGTAATCGTAATTGTTAATAAGGCTATTGAGAAAATATAAATGAATGGCATTTATATGTGTTTTGTATTTATATATACATGAATATGTGTATTTTTTTCTTAACTCGATCATAATAAAAGTTTGCCTACGGAGTGTAACACGACTGCAGCTGTGCCGTTCAGGGTGACCACAGGTGCTGTACCAATACTATGCTGGGACTGACCTTGACGAGACTGAGCCTAATGGCTATGCTGTTGCTTTCGAAGGAGTTGTGGCCACCTAGATACTAAACTGTGCTACGACCTTGACCTTGACAAGGCTGGTGCGTTCCAAGAGGTTATGGCCACCAAGATACAATACTATGCTGGGACTGACCTTCACACGGCTGAAATTAATGGCTAGGCTGGTGCGCTCCGAGGGGTTGTGGGCCCCTAGTTACAATTCTGTGCTAGAAATCACCTTTACGAAGCAGAGCCTGATGGTGAGGCTAGCGCGCTCCAACGGGTTATGGCCCCCTAGCAACAATACGGTGCTAGAACTTACATTGACAAGGCTAAGCCGGATGGCGAGGCTGGTGCGCTCCGAGGGGTTGTGGCCCCCTAGTTACAATACTGTGCTAAAACTTACCTTGACAAGGCTGAGCCTGATGGCGAGACTGGTACGCTCCGATGGATTGGCACTGGTGGCCAGCAGCGCACGAACGTGCTGCAGCTGCCCAGTGGCTGATGATACCCAATTTTCGTCTTCTTGTTGTGATATTTTTGCCCTAAATAATTAAAATGTTTCGTATCATTAAAACAGAATTATGGTGGAATATTCGGTAGAAATACTATTCAAGATGGAATATGCAAATTACTTTAGTGTGTAGTGTTGTGCTTGATGCCAGCGTGCGTTGAGCGCGTCAAGCTGCTCCTGTATCTGTGTAGAGAGCGGCGCCCCGCACGCGCCCAGCACTACCCGCCCGCACGCCCGCGCGCTCTCCACCGCCCCCCGCACGCTCGCCAACTGTACACCACACATACACTCCTGGGGCCTAACCATGCGCTCTTATGGTAAAGGTTAATCCGTGCAGAGAGCGTGTCACCGCTGTTGTTCCGTATAGAGCTGTCCTAGTCGATGCACGTATTAAACATTGCTATAAGAGGTGATGGTAACCCCCCTGTACTACATCACAGTGTATTCTACTATACCACGCATGCATAAACGCACGCGCCCATACCCGCCCGCAGGACTGCGCGCTTGTAAAGTAATAACTAATGACTATTTTTTGTGTGTCTGTCAGGTAGATTGTTTAATTATTTATTCAAGCTTTATTGCATAAATACAAATGTACAAATGATAGATTTATATTATTATCGATTCAATTCTCTGCCAATTTTTTCCAAGTTTCCCATAATAATGGGCCTTCGCCGAGTTTAATTATAATGTTAACGGGTATATAATTGTTAAATTTTTATTGATGAATATATAACATTTATTACTTATTTGCGTAATTAATAAATATGGGCGTTTTACCTACCGATAAAACGCTTATTAATTTACTTACCTTATTCGAAGCTTATAGTTATATGAGATAGGTGTCACTTGTTCCCGCCACTACTGCTGTCTCTCTTTATCTTATATTTGCATCTCTTTCATACCCCTACCCTACCACCTAGGCAGTACAGTGGGGCAGCCATTGGTTGCCGCCATTTTATTCTTCATTGAGTCGAAAATATAACCAGGCAGAAATTATCTATAAGCTTCGAATAAGGTAAGTAAATTAATAAGCGTTTTATTGGTAGGTAAAACGCCCATATTAATTTGACTTGACCGTTATTCGAAGCTTATAGTTATATGAGACGTGTTTGTTATCGCCTGGTGGTGGACGCCAATGTGACATCATGTATGATACTATGAAATAAAATAAATAAGTAAATCATATAATAATAAAGCACTGCTATAATTTTCTGTGTATTATTAAGTACAATGTATAACATAAACAGGAATTCCAAGATTATAGTTCAATTTTACAAATTAAGTATAATTATTAATCAACAGGCATAAATAGTCTAGTGACCGAATTACTAGTAGCAGCAGACATCACTTCACGTCTATAAAATTTTTGAAAGGTATTACTTGATCGCCAATTTCCTCTGGATAATATATCCTCTAAGGCATAATTATTCAGCCAATTTTTTGATGCTACTGCTGAGCGTATACTGCCTGGTGTCGCAGTGATGTTTGCTTCTACTAATAACGATTTAATCCAACCCGCTATTATTGCTCGGGATGCGGTCTTTACACCACCCCTTAATGTTATAAACAAGCTATTGCAATTAACAGACTCCCTTCTGTTACGTAGAACATCAATAACCTGATTTATCCAGTAAACTGGGTTTAAATTCTTATTTTCTGTATTTGCTAACAGCTTCCAACCTGACTGTCTGTAGTCAGAGGAATCAGTTTTAGACCCATATATTGGCCAGAAAATGATTGAATCCTCCGACTTCACACAGTGAGTAGAATCGATATTCAATAAAGTTAAGTCATGGATCCTCCGTCCAGAAGAGAGTAATAACAATATTGCTGTGTGTCTACAAATTTGAAATATATTAGCACAATTTACAGTTTTCTTTTCTAAATATAAGGATAGGGTATCAATATCCCAGATGGGACATTTTTGTGTTATGGGCTTTTTTATAGCTATAGATTTTAAGACATGTTTTACAAGTACATGGGAACTTAGTTGACCGGAAATACTAGAGTTACATAGTGTAGAAACGGCCGATTTATACAAAAGGATAGTGTTATATGAAAGCTTGTAAATAATATGTAAGTCTGCGAGAAATTTTGCCAAATCTGACCCACTTGGGCAAGTCGGATTGATGTGATGTTGCCTTGTCCATTCTAGCCACTTAGACCATGCAATGTTGTACGTTTTCCTTGTAGATGATCTCCATGACGCTTGCAATAAACTAATCTGATCGCTATTCCAGTCCATTATATCCCCTGACCACCCCCACATTTCCACACCTCCAGAACTATTTCTTGGATATGTGGGGGAGGTAGACCGGTCGAAACATCTACCAACATCTTGTCGAGATGTTGTAAGGTAATCGGTGCCGCTAGAGTTCGTGCTCTTAGGTCGGCCCGCCAGAATACCTTCTTCCATCGCGGAACCACTAAAAGATAGACACCTTTTGCCCGATTGAGATGGGCCAGCACTTTTGGTACTAGAAATGGCGGTGGAAACACCCACGCCAGTGGGTAATCCCATGTCCTTGAAAAGGCGTCGTGAAAAGCAGCTCGATGGTCGTTTAGGTCTAGGGTCACATAGTTCGAGACAACGTGAGCCCTTTGAGAGGCAAATAGATCGATCACTGGAGTGCCAAACCTTGCAAACACTACACACGAGTTCAGTAGATGCCACTCTGGGGGCGCTCGAAGTCTCGAGAGATGGTCCGCATGACTGTTGTACCTCCCTGGGAGATGATGTAACTTGAGGTGTATTTGAAAACGGTCTAGAATCTCGAACACTTGGTATGTCAAATTCATCAAGGGATTTGACTTTGTACCTCCCTGATTCCTGAGGTAGGCAATCACAGTTTTGTTGTCGCACTGAATTAGAACTGTGGAATGATGCAGGTACAGACAGTGATCTCTTAATACGTATAAGATTGCTAACATTTCTTTTTGATTGCAATGAAGAGTACGTTCTGCACCAGTCCACAATCCCGATAATGGGAGATGGTCTAATTGCGCTCCCCAGGCCAGATCTGACGCGTCGGTCGTTAGAAAGTGTGCTGGAGGCGGTAAGTGTATCATTGATGAAAGGTGGCAATTTCTCAGCCACCATATTAAATCTTGTCTGACTCCGGGTGGAACAACATGTGTCTTTCGTGAGGACAGAATTTTGTTTTGGAAATTTAGAAGTACACGATAATTTAGCCTGCCGTTTGGAACGACAAAACTTGCAAAATTTAATCCTCCGGTTAGGCTCTGGACTTCTTTTACGTCGGTTCTTTTTGCATGAAGCATGTGGTTGATTTTGACGGTCAATGATTGCACCTTTTTTGCTGGCAAAGACTTTTGATTGAGCCAAGGGCTCCAATGAATTCCGAGGAAGACGAGGCTTTTCGATGGGCATAAGATAGATTTCTCGTAATTTATCATCCAACCGAGAATCTCCAAAGTTTCCAGTGCCATGGTCACGTGACATCGAAGGGTGGCAGAATCTTGGTGAGCCAGAAGATAATCGTCCAGATACACAATTATTCTGACACCCTTCTGTCGCAAGGTCTGTGCGACCTAATTCGTTAGGGCAGCAAAAGTTTTTGGAGCGGTACTCAAACCAAAAGGGAGGCATGTCATTTCTAGCACTTCGTTCATGTAAATTAGACGTAAAAATCTTCTGTGACTCTGGCTTATTTTCAAATGAAAATAAGCTTGAGATAGATCTATTTTGCATAGATAGTCGTTGGGCTGAAGAAATTCTGGTACTCGGAATAAGTTTATAAGATTGAATCTTTCCGTCATAACAAACTCGTTCAGCGATTTTAGATTGAAAATGGGACGAGAAGTACCGTCGCTCTTCGGCACGAGAAACATTGTCAAGAGAAAGCATGGGGAAAGATGGGCTACCTTCAGAACACCTTGTCTTTTCAAATTGTTTATCACTGTTGACATCTCTTCGGACTGAGGAGTGTGGAATGCTTTTCCGCGAATGCTGGGGTAAACAAGAGGTGGTTTTAAACGAAAGGGTATGCGATACCCCTGAATAATTTTTAGTAGGTAATCTGGAGCTCCCATCTTTTCCCATTGTTTGTAGTAACGAGCTAGACGGCCCGCTCTGAAGGAGTTCGCGTCAAAATCTTCGCTTCTTACTACCTCTGCTGTTAGAGGATGACATGCCTCGTTTTCGGTTATTTGTGTACTGATCGTTAGACCTTTTACCTTGTCTGGGAGGATGCCCTTGTAAGGATCCTCGTTGATAGGGCAGGTTTATTTGCTGATTCTCCTGCGAGGAGAAATGATAATTGCAGCCGCCCTGCGGGGGCGGATGTCTAACATGATGCGCATGTGATGCGGTCACATGCATGTATGGAGCATTACTATTATAAGCAGTACCCTGTGAGGGCGCCACAGTATAGGATGTACCCTGCGAGGGCACATTTGAAGCTCCTGTCAATCCTGCTTGCGAATTAGTTGCTTTTTTCTTTTTAATAGGCCAAAAACACTTTCTGACACCGCCAGCTTTCTCTAAGGCAGTTGTGAAAGCCTCTGCATCAAATAGATTCTTACAAGAAGGTGGTATCTTTTTAAATACGGATTTCATAAGAGGGTCTTTGACATGATTTATTATACAGTCTCTACGACTTTGTATTACCTCGGCTCGGTGACCACAAGCCAGTTGTAGTAAGTCAGACGACCTTTTTTGAAAGTCACCGTCAGAAAATAGAATTGAAATTTTTTCTTTCAGTAAGTCAAAGTTAATAGATTCAGAGTCTTTGGCCCAGTTTAATAAATCTCTTAAGGTGGATTGCAACGCCTCTCGTTGCTTTAGTATACATAAGATCAAGGCAGCATATGATTTATCAGCATGTGTTAAATGTTTTAGGGAATCGAACATTTTAATTTCTTCATTCGCTTCTAAATCTACAAAACCAGGACTATGTTGATACAACTTCTGAGTATCGTAATATCGCAATTCGGACCAATTTTTATTATTAAACAGCTGAAGATCGTGTAACAGTTTCAAATCCGAATCGGAAGTCGTTGGAATGGCTGGTTCTTTCAATTTAGTTTGAATTTGAATATTAAAATCAATACGATATATCAATAATTGATACGTGGGCGGGAGCCACTGGTAAAGAATATGATGAGGGTAGATCGTTATCGTTATACTGGTCTCTACTCACATCGGAAAAACAATCATTATTATTTGCAGCTATTTGTTCACGTAAAAGGTTCACCTCCTTATAAAGTTCATCTAACTTACGGTTTGAGCGACGACCACGTTTTCTCCCCCTTTTTTTGTCGCGTTGCCGACGCTTCCGCTTGTGAGAACCAGAATCCGAAGAGGAACTCGAAGAGTCACTGCTGCTGGTACTGGAACTGGTTTCCGAGCTATGGGGACGATGCCGCATTGAAGGTGCTGGTGGCGGTACGGCCGGCCCCGGAGGCACACAGTTCTGGTCGTCGATGTCCGGCATTCTACATACAAAACTTATTAAGCACTATGCATAGGATAGGGTATATAAAGATAATTTTCCAAAATAAAAATAAAAAATAATAATATACATATATCAACGGAAAATCCGTTAAAAAAAAAGTTATGCTTCTGTGGGTAGATTTGATTACACTATTTGATGTACTGAGATTTTAATCACGTACTTTATAAACGTTAAACATTATATAAGAGCTAAAGGTCCATAGCTTACTTTAATCATGCACTAAAAGGAAATTCTTAATAACTGTAATCATTACCAACACTTATTTAAAAAAGTTCGGTACTTACGTAGTTTTTTCAATCCGAAACCAAAATCCAGCAAACCTAATTTGCACTGTTCAATTCAATGAAAAAAATATTCTATATTGTTTTATTTTAAATTATAAGCAGTGTAGTCGTTTGATCACGAACGTTCACGGCGGGAAACAAGACGCCAATGAAGAATAAAATGGCGGCAACCAATGGCTGCCCCACTGTACTGCCTAGGTGGTAGGGTAGGGGTATGAAAGAGATGCAAATATAAGATAAAGAGAGACAGCAATAGTGGCGGGAACAAGTGACACCTATCTCATAACTATAAGCTTCGAATAACGGTCAAGTCAAATTAATAACGGCGACACATTAAATTGAAATGTTGCATGACGTCACACCTTTGTACATTTTCTACACGGTTGTAGCGTAGCGAACCCGCACTCCTCTTAAATGCCTTTTAACTAAGCCATTTCGTGAACAAGCGAAAGAAACTTACCAACTCTTTATCATAAGTAATGACATTTACATAAATCAATGTCATTATCAAAATAATATGTATTATAACAACAACAAATACAACTTTTCACTCTGTAGGACATAGGTTGTTACATATAATTAGTCGTTATAGAACAAAGCGAAGGCTATTAATTCCACGCATTGCGGTCCTTAAAATAATCATCAACTTCATATAGCCTTTACACATAAGTATATTCTTTACATGAATTTTAAATTTATTTAATACTCATAAGTATGTTATACATGAATTTTAAATATATTGTGATCGACAGTTTGTTGATGAAATATTGTATTTGGAAACATTAATAGTAATTGCAGTTGCGACATTACCTGAGCGTCAGCGTCGCGCTTGTGTTGCCGCGCGGCATCCAGTGCGTGCTGTAACGCGTCACCGCCCCCCTCCAGCGACTCGTACAGCCGTCGCCACTGCTCGCGGCACACAACCCATCTACACCCACAACATACTACATACTATACCTCATATGGGGAATGGAACCTTTTACGACTCATGAACGAAAATTCATGAGAAAGAAAAGTTTTTAATAACTTAACATGATAGACGGGAACGATTATTCACGTATTAAAATTAATGACACAAAACAATGCAATGAAACACTCATACGAACTAATGTGAGGCTTGACAGCCTATTCTATTTGTTCTCGAACATAAATTCGTAAAATTTCGAATCGTTCCTATTATTTGGTTAAGTTAAAAATTGATCAAAGGCAGTTTCAGGTCCGACTTCCGTTGTATCATATATTATTCGACAAATGCGTTTATTTCAAATGAGAATTTTTAAAATAGACGAAATTTCGTTCGGAAAGATAGGCCTTCAGATACTGGATAGAGTGAGCGCTCACTTGTCATATCGGCGGTTGTAGTCTTGTGTGAGTATTGCAAGTTCCTCCACTAGCCTGGTGTGCAGCCGCTGCGGTATTGAGCCGGCCTTGGTCGCTTCAGCTGCGCATTCACTCGCCACCACACTGGCCTCATCTAACGACGCCTTCACACGCTGCACACACATACATATACCATAGACACAAAAACTTCTATGTATACTAAAAGTACAAGAACAGTACAAAAAAAATTGCACGCTTATTCTATGCACAAACTGAGTAAGGATTAGATTATTCTTTGCAGTAACCCTTAACTTTCACTGTTATACCGACGCGTCGGTAAAATTGTAAACTCTGATGTAATTATGCCCGGTCAAAATTAATATATACGATTTACTCCTTTCTTTAATTTTTTCCTGTTCTTTTAAATTTTTATATTTCAATATCGTATGTAACTTTTTTCAATTGTATATTAAATTTAGTAATAATGACATCATATTATTTATAAAACTACAAAATTTTGAACAGGATCGAGTATTTTGAGCAGGTACACGATATTAGTTGTGATCAAAAGGTTTAAATTCACATTCGATGAAAGTGCTGATATATATCGGTGGAGGTTTTATCTAGAATAGTAGATATTATACACGTATATAATTACCGCTAGCGCATCCTCCTGCAGCGGGAAGTCATCGTAGTCTCGACCAGAGAGGGGCGGGGTGTAGAGTAACTGCGTACGTGTATTGTTGACGATCGTACGAGCTGCTGCGATCTTCGTCACTAACGCCTCGCTCGAAGGACTCAAAGGACTCTCCTATCGAACGAAACGTATTTATAGGACGAGTCTGTAACTATGACGTGTCGCCTCGAGGTGATCTCAACCCGGACAAGGTATTTTTTTATCAAAGTCAAATATATACAATATCGAGATTGATTTAACGATATTCGAGCCGTTATGTTTGGTCAAATATGATGAGTGACATATAAATAAAGAATTAAACTCATTCCTTAAAATTATAGAATTCGAGATAAATAATGGCATCAGCTAACTTCGTATTTCTGAAGATGATCGACGCGTCTAAATAGTGTTATAATATAGAGCTGCTGTTACACTCTAAAAAACTGTGGCGTATATCTTCTCTTATTTCAATACTACAATCAGCAACTGACAAATTACTGACACCGGCGCGAAAACCTTACAAATAATTCGCTGTTATTCTAAATGACGTTGACACTTATTTAATTACAATAGTTTTTTATTTTTGTTAATTTTCTCTGTATTGTCAGAGGATTGTTTCTGATGACCATTTTTTACTTTAAAGTAATGTACGTCAGGTAATTTCTACGACTCGTGTAGGATAAAACAATTGTGTGACGTGTATAGTGGTGGGGTGAAATGTACCAATTTATCCCGGTATTGTTGGTATCGCTGCGTGATTTGTTGCAGCGCGCGATCATCAACGGTGACTCGCAGCGCGCGCAGCTCTCGTGCCAAAGTCTGCGCGCGTTCCACATCACGCTCTACGCGTTCCAGATCCGACGGCCCTTCCAGCTGCGACCACTCTGTACACATCGTATACTGTCACTAATCAATATATTATCTCTATTCATTTACAACTATCAAAACGATCACCTAAATTAAAGAACCTCTAGTATGACTTTGCCAATTATCCCTCTCCTGGGAAACTCGTTACAAGTTTTCCTTAAAACTAAAACTATTTTAGGTAATGCAAAATTTTCAATATATGTATTATTTTTATAAAGTTTTAGGGTATCAAAAAATTTAAGCGTATGAATTTACATGTGTAACCATTTACTTAAATTAAGCAATTTATGAAAATGTAATGACAAACAATATTTCGGGAGATCTCCCGCTAGCCTAGTGAATCCAAAACAGAATACACACGCAAAAGCCTCGATACTTAAATTCATAATGACTGGTTTACAGGTATTAATGTGATAAGTCGTTAACTTAATTTTATAATGGCTGCTTTACCCGTATTAAATCGTTAACTTATTTCATAGGCTCCAGTCTCTCACATTAGGTTTAAATTTTAAATATGTAAACTTAAATAACTAAGCAGGTAAACACAGAACAATCACGTTAAAGTAATTTTAACACTTTAGTTAACTACTTATCTACTAAATACGCTTAAATCAACCATATGAGAAAACGAATGTGAGAGGAAATAGGGGGTACCTGGTAAAGCTAGTTGTTGCATTATCGTATTGAGCTCGTGGGCGTGCTGCTCGGCGGCGAGTGCGGCGGCGCGCTTGCTATCTATCTCCGACATTACCGCCGACCACGCAGTGCGCAACTTATCCTGTATATACAGACATGCCATACTGCAATGGTAATAAGGTTCACTATCCTGGGAAGTTCTTAGTCCCACACACGTATGCTCGTTTAGGGATTTTGCAAACGAAACAGTTAGTTGTCTGCCTGTCTCAAGGTGGTAAAAAGTAAATAAAATTTCTTAGAAATATGCATATCAAACATTTTAAAACGATATCTTTAATTTTAAATGTAAAATGTTGACCCACTTTAATTTTCATTATTTAATTACAAATGTATTCTTTTCACATTATTACTTGAGTTTGTTCTATAAAATAATGTTCGTTGCCAAATTTCATGCTACTACAAGTCGATATATGGATTTAATTATAAGTCGATATCTCCAAGCGTCCCCGAAATTCTGAGTTTCGAGATACAATAGGACAACAAAGTAATCCTTTAAGTTTCGTTTACCTTTTAACGTACGAAATCTTTAAAATACATCAGGCTTTAAGTATTAAACTTCAAAAAAATATGTAAATTTATACCAAGTAGTTGGCCTGTATGTAATCTGCGAGCAGCGGATGGTCGCGATGTTTGTCGTACACGAGGGAATCACCGCGGGATATCAGCGTCGCCACGTCCATGGCGATCGCCGCCTGCTGATTTTTCAGGATCTGTTCCATAGTAATTTAAAAAAAAAAGTGTGTTTATACATGGTTCTGTTTCTAAACATTCAAGTGGTGGTGACAGAGTGTAGTGTGACCTTATATTGACAAACTGTAATGCGACATCAGCCCTGCGATTCTATAAAGATCCAGACCAGAATTCGAATTCACTCGTGTATCCGTATTCACGTTATTTAGTTTAGAAATTCTATTGATTCCATGTTTTGTATAAAAATACAAAGCATAATTGATTGAATACGCCTGTCTCAGTTATTCTATTCCTATGTCATTTAAAAACTCACTTCGCTTATGCCACGAAACGTGGCAATTCAAGGTTGAGCGGATGCCGCTTTTTGAAGTGAAAACGGACACCGGAGTAAATTCGAATTCTGGTTTGGATTTTTACAGAATCACAGGGCAAGGCTTAAAATGTCACGTGACAGATTGTGTTCGCGTGCATATCAAATTAACGAATAAAAATATTATTGTTTCTTTTTCTTAATAATAAAACTTTTTCAAGAAAAATATATCTGATAGTGTTTTAGTATGATCATGTGAACAATTTAAAATACTTTTACCAAAATTGATAGAGGATCGAGGATCGGACGACTTTCAGAAAATGTTTAAATTAATCATTATGGGCTTTTATTCCCACAAAAAAAATGTTATTCTATGTAAATAAACCTCACCGTGTAAACAAAACTGTTTGAAAAAATCACGTAAGCGGAGACTCTTAGTACGTGACAAACAAAAAGGATTTTCACTGGAAAAAAAAAATAATTATCGTCTACAGTACTCATACTTAAACTCACAAATAAATAAAACAGTAAACTGACCCTCGTTACCTGTTAAAAATAAAAAAAAATCATTAAGATTATTTTGCACTTCAAATGTTTCTCGCACTTTTCCTAAATAATCTTTCTAACAATTTACCTACTAATGACGTCACATTTTTTTTTTATCTCATAGCTGTCCGATCGCCATAAACAACTGTTTTTCTTAAATAAAATAAATTCAAATTACCTCCAGTCTCTTAGCGGGGTCCCGCTCGGCAGCAGCGGCGGCGAGGGTGACCAACATAACGTGCATGCGTCGCGCCGCCCCTCGTGCGTCCGTCACCCATGCGTGCACCGTGCCGTCCCACGTGTCGCCGAACATGACGCGCGCTTGCTCCTCCTCCTCGCCCTCCTGCCCCGGCACACTCGCTTGCCGCTCCAGCTGGCGGGCCACAGGGGGCTTCTAGTGAGAAAACCATTAATGAACCCTTCAAACATCCTGTTATCATCCGACACTCGAAAAAATATACTGGGCGAGGACCTAGGTCGATCGGAATAAACAAAATATAAGACCGAGCTTTTGTCATTATAGATTGCAGCTTTCATCACAGGAACCTACAGATTATGTCAAAACAAAGTCCTCGTCTGCTTTGTTAAATTACCGAGATACAGCTATCTTTCGGTTTCATCACAAGACTGACTCGATTTCATATTATAATTGCACTGTCAACTAAGTAAAAGTCGAAGAGTATGTGAATTAAAATTAATAATTAAACATGGTACCCGTTACTTCTTGTTTTGTACTTAGTACGTATTCAAATATAGAAATGTCATTGGGAATACACTGGCTTCTAAAATACACGTAAAGCTAGCTTAGAAATCAGAGCTTCAAATATTTATGTAACTGGTATTTGTACAAAATAAAAAAAAATGAACGATCGTAATTCCTGTACGTGATCGTAAATCGTAAATGACATATCGTAATTCCTTTTAATAGAGAGAAAAGAAATATTAATAAAACGCTGTAAATATTATGACTGCCTATGTTAGTTACAAAATGAACCAATCAAGCTCACAGAGTCTGCGTCATCTGTGCGCTGATACTTCTCGGAGGGCACGGGGGAGGGCACCTGCTTGCGCGCCATCCCCACCACCTGCACCGCTCGCGCCGGCGTCGACGTGTGAATCGGAGACCCCAGCTGCACACACACAACCCTATATAATATGACGGCACGCTATCATTAGAAAACCAACTCGACTAGTCGAGTCATTTCTTCATAATTCACGTAAAAATCATCTAACTTGACCAGACTAAACGTTTTCCACGTGTATTTCAAACATTGTATATATTGAATTTACAATGTTTGAAGTGTATTTTACAAGAATTCCCTCTTTCAATTTATCAGTGTATGAAAATAATCAAGCATAACCACAAAAAGTCAGCCACTTTGGCGTACTTAAATATACAGAAACCGTTTAGGATATTTTTTACCAATTCCCCGTCGTTCGATCGCGTGTCCCTAGTATTACCTGAACGTCGTCGACCTCCGAGTAAATTGCTTCATCGGAGCCCGGGAGAGGGGGGTCTTGGCCCCCCTCGTCCATGGGCGTGGGCGGAGGCGTGCCGCTGGAGAAGTCTCGGTCGTGGCCCGGGATGAGATCCGGGACGGCAGCGTCCTCTCGCCGCGTCAACACCCCGCGCGTGGGCTTCATCGGCCGCTCGGTCTCCCGCACTTCCACCACGAACGTGGTTGCTTCGTCATCGCTGTCGTCCGGTAACTCGACGGTCTCCACTTCCTGAGGCACAGGTCCGGGCCGGGCGTGCACGGTGCCAGACGGGAACTCATCCGCGTGGACGGGGCTCACGGTGCCGCGTACTATCTCCGCTTCCCGGACGGCGACCACGAGGCACGGATCTGCCGCGTTTCTGTCGGCTGGTCGCGGACGAGGTTCTATCTTGTCCTCGGATATTCGCGTAAACAGCTCGCTGTCCTGCAGCAGGTTGAAGGTGCTGCTGCTATCTTTGGGTTTCGGATCCGTAATTTCGGGCTTTACGTCGCCTGGGTCTGAGCCCGGAAGAGATGCGGGGCTCGCGGGCGGGACGGAACTAGCGACGGTGATGGTGTTAACAGAAGAAACGGAACTAGTCAAGGGGACGGAGGAAATCCGAGTCGGCGAGCTAGTAGAAGCCGGACACTCGGAAGCAGGACCAGAACTCGAGGGAGAGACGGGACTAGTCGGAGATACAGGACTAGCCGGAGCACCGGTGGAGGGGCGAATGACCCGCTCCAGCGAAGAGCCACGGCTCCTGGCACCGCCTTCCTTAACCTCGCGGCGGATGGGTGCGGGGCTACGCAGGGCTAGTGGTATCTTGGACTTCTTGAGGTCGGGTCGCTCGGGCTCCACGGCATCGGCGGGGATGTCGAGGCGGCGCTTGATAGTGTCGGTCACCTTCTCGTATTCCCCGCGCGCCTGGAACCACAAGCGTCGCTTTACCCGGCCTCGTATCACACTCGACTCCGTGGTTATTTACAGTGTTAGTTCAAACCGTTAATTCCTCCTGCGCCCGCGTGAATGATGAAGCGTGAATCCCGCGTCCCGTGAGCGTGTCGACGATGAGATGTTCGAACCGCAACCGCCCACACATATTTACATGATTTAGCGATGATTCCGATGATATGTACAAACGAGGGTGGAGACTGTGCCGGTGATTCGATTTCGGCCGTCCTCTTCGGCGCTTCTGAGTTTAGTCGGTTAATGGAGTTAACGATCACTTCCAGGTTAACGTTCACTCGTTAATCTATCGAAGCGACTAAACTACGTGCACGAGGATAACAAAAAGCGTCACGATCTCAACTGGCCGACGGCCGAGATCTCGCGAATGAATGTGAAACGATAACCCACACAAGCCGGCAACGTCAATTCGTCGATATTTTGAAACTGATTTCAACAGCAGTTTCAGCAGTCAGAACCATTTTATATCGTCGGGCAAAATCATCTCGGGTAGTTTTATAGAAAACGATTTATTAATCTATTTCACTCGCAAGGAATTATAATCGAGCAGAAACCGGAGCAAGTGGAAATATCGATGCCCACGATACCTTCATAAATACTTCCCAGGAACGTCATATTGCATTTCGCACGAGTTGTTTTTGCCTAACTGTTCTGAATCTGACAGACTCGAAACTACGTTTCAAAATATCGACCGGCTGCCAGAACATAAAAGTTTAAACAAGCTGCATTGACAAAATCCAAGCGAAAATGTTACAAAATCATCTGATGCATCAGAATAGGTGTAAGCGTACTCACGTCGTCGTTGTGTATTGGGGTCGGGGGCGGGGAGCCGGCGGGTTGGTGGTCTGTGGTGACCTGAGCGCGTATCTTGTGCCAGCGCGCGTCCACGTCGTCTAGTCGTTGGCGGAGGTCAGTAAGCGAGGCGGGGTCGCATGCGGCTGCAAGGCGGTCGTAGTTGGTGCGTAGACGGTCACGGAGTGCGGACGCGCGGGACATCTCCAGCTCGAGTTTGGCGCGGGACGGCTGCGGCGGCAACGCTGACAGCCATCCGCTTAACGCGCCCAAGTCCGAGTGCAGCTCACGCGCCGCCAACAGGGCGCCCTACCGACATATACGTTCACGGTGGGCCTCGATCGTTCGAGCCGAACTACTTATAGATTTTATGTATTGTTTTAGAAAAATAATGTAATCAAAACGAATGAAGAATAAAAAATGTTATTTTCGTGCGAAATGAGAGTCAACAGTTGAAGAAACGTGCAATTTTAGACTTCGCTAATTGATGGTGCAGAATTATCCTATTAATATTATAAAGGCGAAAGTTTGTAAGTATGGATGTATGGATGTTTGTTACTCTTTCACGAAAAAACTACTGGACGGATTTGGATAAAACTTTACAGCAATATAGGTTATACATCAGAATAACACATAGGGTACTTTTTACTGGGAAAACTTCTCACTCCCACGGGATACCGACTTCCACGCGGACGAAGTCGCGGGCGTCCACTAGTTGCTTTATAAATGGCATCGTCGGTCCATGGTTTAGTTCCAAGTTGATCTAGTTTTCACAATTACCTATAGATGACGTTCTGAGTCTATGACTGAATTATCTATCTTTTTTTTATAAATACAAAGTTGTTTCTTATTAAGTAATAAAATAATTTATTCTGAGTCAAATAGTCTATTTGTCATGTCTTCTGGGTGAAATTGTGTTCATGTAAGGTGTTATCT